TAGCCTGGTCTTAAAAGTTAGTTTAGTCATGAAGCAATGAAATAATTTTGAAGATGATAGGGACATTTGAGGGAAATAAATAAAGACATTTTGATATCACTTCAAGCCTGAATTGTGTGAAACTGGGGTAGATAGAACATAAATAAACACTATTGAAATGCACCCTGCCGCATCAGGTTGAAGCTAAAGGCAAGTTTGCCCAAAATTGGCAGGGGTTGTTCGTGGTAACGAGAGTGTTGTCCAATGGTGCTTTGTATTTAACAGATGTAGAAGGCAAATGTGTGGATATGGTTATAAATTCTGATGCAGTCAAAAGATATTATGTATGATTTCTTTGGTTTGTTTAATTGTGTTATTTGTATTTGGCATGCTTTGAAGATTGGAATGACGAAGGCATTTTATTCTGCTATCTAAACACCTTATCCTTTGTTACCCCTTTGAGCCGTATTTATTTTTTTTCATATACCTCTTTTGGAATCAGAAGCAGTGTTTACAAATATGATACAGAAAAAATGAGAGAAAAGAAAAAAAAGAGAAAAAGAGAAAAAAAAATGGAAAAAAGAAAAGATAAGAGAAAAAAGAAAAAAAGAGAGAAAAATGCAAAAACAAAGCAATTCCTATGTCATGAACTACGTTCGACCTGATTCATTTTAAGGATACGTAAGCAGCCTCACGGTTCGGTCCCGTCAAAATAAAATGCAAAAACCCCCAGGCAAAATGGGGCAGAAGTTGTGGTTCTGTAAAAAAATCTGATTCCAAAAGTTGTAATTGTGAACCCATTCAAGTTGTTTTGAGCTTTTATCCTTTCTTTTTAACCCCATCCAATGCCCACATTACGGTCCAAAGAAAGACCTTCCGATCAATATTGGAGAGTTCCAAGTTGAGCAAGATAGAGGTATGATTCGCATCAGGAGCAACACTCCTTGCTACACAAGGAAAACAAAAATGAGAGAGTCTTATCGGTGAAAACCTTTATAGGCACCATAAGGCGACTGTAAGTTGAGAGAAAGAGCAAAATGAGAGAGGCTTGATGGTGAAAACCCTTCGGGCACTACAAGTCGAATAAGGACCATGAATCAGATAGGATAATCGGAGCATTGAAGCCCAGTTTCACGGCGAAGGGGTACAACAAGAGTTGAACATTAGATTTGCTTGATAGATTAGGCCACGTAATCCAAAAGTGCATGTCATGGTCATTAGAGTTGGTATCCACATCTGATAAATTTCTACTTTGTAGTTTTCTTGTTAGGAATCATCTCTTTCCATTGTCCTTTGCTCTATTCATTTTGTCTTGTTTACTTCCTCTTCCTAAGTCTATTTGGTCAGAACAAGTAAGAAATGACTTCAAAATTTGCTACCAGCTTTCCAATTGCACAAAACAGAGTCTGGCCAGCACATCGAGTGGCATAAGTCAGGAAAGAACAGTATGTGCACTGAGTCAGTAACAATCAACGTGCTTTGGGATTCACGTGAAATGCAAAGGTTCGGTAAATGGCAATTCATGAGCACAATGCAATAGATAAAGAGTATTGGGTTTGAACGGATCAGAGGTGTTTTTTGTGATAAGGGTGACAGAGAAAGTGTTTAGTCAATGAACAAGCAAAGTCTTTCAAGTTGAAATCAAAGTAATCATGGCAAGTGAAGGAGCAATCGCCGCAAAGTCAAGGCCACAAACCAACCACCATGTTTAAACTCACAAGTTTTCTTTGTCTGAAACAGGGACAAAAGCTATGTTCATATCAAAGCTTGGAAGATTGCATTTTTCAGGTGTAATGCCCCAGTTCTGATTACGCAAAGGCTATTGGTAAGATCACACATCACCCCTAGGAGAAACACTTCCTGGTCTGGGTTTTCAAGTTATATTTTGTTGTAGGAGATGCACTTCCTAAATCGAGGTTTCACCCTTAGGAGACGCACTTCCTAGCCTGTGTTTCTCAAGTTATATTTTTGTTTTAAGAGACGCACTTCCTAAATTAAGATTTTACCACTAGGAGACGCACATCCTCATTGGTTCATTTAATTCCTAGGAGACGTACTTCCTAGTTTGAGTCATTAATGTTTCACCCCTAGGAGATGCACTTCCTAGTCCGGGTCTTTCAAGTTATATTTTTGTTTTAGGAGACACACTTCCTAAATTGAGATTTTACCACTAGGAGGCGCACTTCCTAGTTTGAGTCATTGATGTTTCACCCCTAGGAGACGCACTTCCTAGTTTGAGTCATTGATGTTTCACCCCTAGGAGACGCACTTCCTAGTTTGAGTCATTGATGTTTCACCCCTAGGAGACGCACTTCCTAGTTTGGGTCTTTCGGGTTATATTTTTATTTTAGGAGACACACTTCCTAAATTGAGATTTTCCCCTAGGAGACACACTTCCTAGTCTGGTTCATTTAAGTTCATTCATAGGAGATGCACTTCCTAGTCTGGTTCATTTAAGTTCATTCATAGGAGATGCACTTCCTATCTTGAGTCATTAAAGCTTCATCCCTAGGAGATGCACTTCCTAGTCTGGGTCTTTCGAGTTATATTTTTGTTTTAGGAGACGCACTTCCTACATTGAGATTTTCCCCTATGAGACGCACTTCTTAGTCTGGTTCATTTAAGTTCATTCATAGGAGACGCACTTTCTAGCTTGAGTCATTAAAGTTTCACCCCTAGGAGACACACTTCTTAGTCTGGGTATTTCAGGTTATATTTTTGTTTTAGGAGACGCACTTCCTACATTGAGATTTTACCCCCTAGGAGACGCACTTCCTAGTTTGAGTCATTGAAGTTCCACCCCTAGGAGACGCACTTCCTAGTTTGGGTTTTTCAGGTTATATTTTTGTTTTAGGAGATGCACTTCCTAAATTGAGATTTCCCCCCTAGGAGACGCACTTCTTAGTTTGAGTCATTTAAGTTCGGCCCTAGGAGACGCACTTCCTAGTCTGGTTAATTGAAGTTTTATCTGTAGGAGACGCACTTCCTAATCAAGGTCTTTCAAGTTATTCTTTCAGGATACGCAATTCCTAAATTGAGAGTTCATTCATAGGAGACACACTTTCTAGTTTGGTTCATTCAAGTTTCACCCTTAGGAGACACACTTCCTAGTTTGGTTCATTCAGGTTTTATTTTTAGTAGACGCATTTGCTAGTCAAAGTTTTTTTGGTTTTACTCAAAGAAGACGCACATCCTAGTCTAGTCTTTAGCTTACTCTCATCATTGCATCAATAGTATAAGTGGTTTACAATATTGCTAACAACTCACAAATCTTCCTAGTGCAAACTGGGGCAGAAAATTTCGTTTGTTTTGTTTGTTTTGGTTGCAGGCACCCACATGGAAAACAAGGGAACACAAAAAGTTTCAGCAATCAGGCACCCACCTGGAGAACAAGGGAAGACAGTTCAGGTTTCAAGGGAAGACAGTTCAAGTTTCAAGGGAAAGCAGTTCCGAGGGAACACAGAAAGTTTCAGCAATCAGGTGCCCACCTAGAGAACAAGGGAAGACAGTTCAAGTTTCAAGGGAAAGCAGTTCCGAGGGAACACAGAAAGTTTCAGCAATCAGGTGCCCACCTAGAGAACAAGGGAAGACAGTTCAAGTTTCAAGGGAAGACAATTCAAGTTTCAAGGGAAAGCTGTTCCGAAGGAAGAGAGTTCAAGTTCAGCAATCAGGCGCCCACCTGGAAAACAATGGAAGACAGTTCAAGTTTCAAGGAAAAGCAGTTTCGAAGGAAGACAGTTCAAGTTCAGCAATCAGGCGCCCACCTGGAGAACAAGAGAAGACAGTTCAAGTTTCAAGGGAAAGCAGTTTCGAAAGAAGACAGTTCAAGTTCAGCAATCAGCCGCCCACCTAGAGAACAAGGGAAAACGATTCAAGTTTCAAAGGAAGACAGTTCAAGTTTTGGCAATCAGGCGCCCACCTGGAAAACAAGAGAATTCACTTCAGAATGCAATTCAAGTCAGCAACAAAAGAAGCTCGCGGCAAGAATGCGAGTCAACATTCCGAGATGATCAACAGAAGTTAGTCACAATCTAGAATAAATAAAAAAAGAAAAGCAAGAAGTGAATCCAAATGCAGAAGTTGATGAAAGATGTGAGCTGCTCAAGACATGGCTGAAGTCACAAGCACTGCATGTCCGGTTTTGATCCGAAAAAGCTGAAGAAGAATGAACTAGCACCTGCAACTAGCAAGCGTCAAGGTTCAAATCCAAATTCTGTATGAAGAACCATTCAAGACTCAAGATCAAGCTTCAGAAGACTTATAGATAGGAATCTTGTAACTCATAGTTGACAGGCTTAGTTAGTCTTTTTTATTTTTTTTATTTTGATGTAATAACATGACCGCGGACCGGAACCTCAACGGAATGGCACCTCGATCGGCTCTTTACCTCGGCATACTCCATCATCTTACTTATTTCTGAACTACACGTGGCCTGATTCCTTTATAGCCAAGGATATGTAGGCAGCTCAGATACTAGGGCTCGGTCACATTCTCTTTTCTTTTAGCTTTTGGTCTCTTTAAATAAAGGTCGGGTCAAAAAACATGTCTAGTCGTTCTTTGTCTGAAAAAACTTCGTATTTCCAGTCAAAGAGGGGCAGTTGTAGACATGTGATTTTTTACCCTCCCCAAGATTTTTTATATTTTAGCATGTAAATATTTAGTTTAGGCCTAATATCGCTATTTCAACTAATTTTGACTTTTTTGCTTTATTTTATTACAAGAAAATGAAAAATACAAAAAAATAATTTCATTAATGTTTTGTAGTCATTTTTTAATCTTGAAAAAATACCAAAAATAATTTTGTTTTAACGTTCAGTCTTATTTTAATAGTTATTTTACTTAAGTAGGATTAATTAATAAATGAGATCGTATCTTTAGTCTCTTTCGCAGGAAAAGAATAAAATTTGGGTTCAAACAACCTATTTTTAAGCATAATTTTCGGACCTAACCCATAATTCCTTGGCTCATACCTTGTAACCTAAAATGCCCTATAAAACAAGCTAGACCCTAGATCGCTACTCGGATGGATCCGCCGTTTTCCTCTAATTTCAGACCCCACCCCACCTAAACTCCTTCTTCTTTAGGGACAACCTAAAGAACTAACCTAAAAAAACCCTAAAAATAGACAATCATCCGCAGCACACCAGAATACAAGACCCCTACCCCTGAACTTCATCGTTTTCACTTGACCCCAACCCCATCTCCGCCGGGAACACCTTACACCCGACCAAAACCTTAGAAAGAATCAGCACCAGCAACGACTCGGCCCAAACTCGCCGGAAGAAGCAGCCATCGCCCAAAACTTCATCTTCTTCAGTCGTATTTTTCACCTGCTAGACACCCAAGATCAGAGGCCTCTCTCTTTTTGAACACACCAAGAAATCAGAGAGCAGCAACGGAAACGACCCCTCATCTTCTTCTTTAATGGGATCTCCAGCCATCTACACACAAAAAAGCTAGATTTCTTGTTCAGTTCTGTTCGAGATTCCGTCGAGGTCCGAGATCTAGTGCGATAAAGTTTCCGTTTGGATTTCATGTACGTCGGTTCGGGTTGGTCTTTCCGTTTCTCTCATCTTCTGCTGCTTTGTTTCCGTGACAGATTTTGTCAATTTATGAATGTTTTAAGTTGAAATTATGTTCTTGTTGCATACTGATTTGTGTGGATCTGTTGTTTGGATTATTCTAGTTTTTTTTGTTATTTTCTCTGTTGCAATTCATGATTCAATCCTTTGTATTTGAACAAGTATCACTTGTTTTGGAACTCTGGATGAGCGTCGGATTTAGGCTTATATAAAGCCAAATGAATGTGAGAACCCATTTCAGTTTCTGTCGTTGATTTTAGCTAATTTTTGTTATAGTTTGAAGATTCTATACAAAGTATCAACACCCATGTCACACTGTTCAGGCAATGAAAATAATTAAGTAAATAGCCATTAATCTGCTTTAGTTTGGTTCTTTTCAACGGTATGAAGGAGTTTAATGAAATATGAAAGTGTCATTTGAATTGATACAAAGATTTGGACAGACATGCTTAGGGTTAAGATTTTGAACTTAAATTTGGACAGATATGCTTAAGTTTAAGTGATATTAAGCTTAAGATTTGTTTTTCCTTAGTTAGCATTTAATATCAGTTTTTTTTATCGCATCTTCTTTGATTCCTCTTGTCTTGTTCATGATGTTAAGCTTATGAAGGCACACTTTTTTTAATTGTTAGTTTCAGCTCTTTTGCTCGGATAAAGCTAAATGTGTTTCTCATGAATTATGTCCTAAATGAATCATGGAACTATATTCATGATCTCTCAATGACCTTAACTAGTTTTAGAATAAATAATCCATGAATATTCGTGATTTTCTTTAGGCCCGTTTAATATACTATCGTGATTGCGTACACGTTCGCGTGACATAATTACGATTCTAAAAACAAAACCGGAGTATGCGTTCGTGCAACTTTGGCCAAACGTTTCCTTAATAATAACAAAGCGTTATTAATTGTGGATACGTTCGCGTGACATGATTTTTGACGCGCCAAACAAATGGGTACATGTATGTGTGGCCTGTTTTAAGATAATTTCTTAATTAAAAGAGCCAAATGCACATAGGCTTTAAAATGAGTAATAGACAATTTAATAAGCCAAGTATGATCAACGCGACCGTGCTAGAACCACGAAACTCGGGAATGCCTAACACCTTCTCCTGGGTTAACAGAATTCCTTACTCGGATTTCTGTGTTTGCAGACCGTAAATAGAATCAACTTTCCTCGATTCGGGATTCTAAACCGGTGACTTGGGACGCCATAAATTATCCCAAGTGGCGACTCTGATTTTTAATAAATAATCCAATTTCGATTGTCACTTAAATTGGAAAAAACTCATTTATACTCCATTTGCGGGGTAGTAAAAAGGAGGTGTGATAGTGGGGTCGTGCACTGTTGGGGATTGTGACTTGGTCCGTTCTGAATGATTATTTTACCGCGTATTTGACTGAAATCTATTTGTTGTCATCATGATTTGGGCTGAATGTCATTTGGGCCTCGTGCCAACTATTTGAACCCTTCGGGGATTTTCATTGATATTTTCTCACTGTTTTAACTTTATACTTGAACTCAGTCATTGTTATATTCCATTGTTCTCATACTCAGCCATGTTTACTCTGTTTTAACACTTAAATGATCTTTTAAATGATATTGAGCTGAGAATCATGTTTTACTATTATCCGAGTGGCTTGTGAGGATTTTGACTGAGTAAGGACGAGGGCCTATGTTGTGCGGAAACACTGGTTATTATTATGAGGCCGAGGGCCTGAGATATGTACGCCACGAGGTGGCTTATTGATATGAGGCCGAGAGCCTAGTGATGATGCCACGAGATGGCTTGATATTGCTCTTGGGCCGTAAGGGGCCCTTCCAAGAGTCTGTACACCCCAGTGAGCGCGAGTACCCATTGTGATGTGAGAGATAGCCTGAGGGGCTAGTATTGTTGATATTATGCCCGAGGGGCAATCCTTTATGCGCTTATCTGTCTTATTTGTCTGTCATTTACCTGTGTAATTGTTGAATAGGCATTTCTTGAAGTTTAAACTGAACTTATATGATTTTACATATCTTTACTAAATCACTATTCTTACATATTTCACCGCTTCAGTATAGCCTATAATGCGCCTTACGTGATTTCATGTTTTCAGTCTTTATTTATGATTATTACTCACTGAGTTGGAGTACTCACTTTACTCTCTGCACCCTGTGTGCAGATTCAGGCACATCTGGTCCCGCTACCGAGTGTTGATCTTTCCAGCTCAGGCGAATCCAAAGATTCTCTAGGTAGTTGCCGGCGTTCGCAGCCTAGAGCTTCTTCCCTTATCTTACTTCTCTTTGCTTTGGAATTGTATTGAACTCTGTAGACTTTCTTGTCTTATTACGGATTTTTAGATGCTCATAACTAGTGACACTCCGGTATCGGACTGTGTTGGGTTTATCTTCCACAATTGTACTGTTAACTGCTTACTTTGGATATTTATCATGTTTTAGACTTAAATTCTTATGGTTTGATTGCTTAAAACTGAAATGGAAAGTGTCGGCTGGCCTTGTCTTCACGAGAGGCGCCATCACGATCGGGTTCGGGTTTAGGGTCGTGACACTAAGCAGAACTTTCATCTAGTGAACTACGTTTAATTCCAACATTATGTTGAATAGTACGAAGGGATTCAGAAAAATCAATATCGAGTTTCAACTTATATAAACCATCACTAAGAAAATTAGAACCCTAAAAATAGCATTCTTATATAAACTGAAATATCCAGTTCCAAACTTTAAATCAAATCCAGAAACATCAAGTCTTGAAAGAGAAATCAAATTCCTAGAAACTGAAGGTACATAAAGAGACTATAATAGATCAAGCTGACGTCCAGTCTCCATGATCAAACAATAAGTCCATATGCCTTCAATTGGAGCCTTCATACGATTTCCCATGAACAAGAAATCCTTATTTGGATTTGTAGTTTGGATCGAAAGGAATCCCTACAACGTAGTAGATACATGAGCAGTTGCGCTAGAATCAAGCCACCAAGTATTATTAGGAACTTCTATTAAATATGATTCGAAACATACAAAAGCACTAATTGTACCTTTCTTTTCGAATCAAGCTTTACGTTTCAGGCAATATTTCTGATAGTGTCCTTCCTTGTTACAGAAACGACATGTATTTGCCTTATGTTCCTTCTTAGCATCATGTGGAGCTTTAACGGGGTGTTTTCTTCTTCTTGAACTTGTTGGGCTTCACTTTAAGTCCTTTACCAGCTCCTTGACGCATGAGGTTAATTGAATGATTCCCTTGTTTCTTAAGTCTTGACTCCTCCTGAGTAAACATACTGGACAATTCACTAACATTCCATTTATCCTTAATAGTGTTATAGTTAATTTGAAAAGGTCCATACTTAGGAGGCAACGAGTTCAGAATAAACTAAACCAAGAAGGAGTCATCCACTTTCATCCCCAAGGTCTGAAGTCTTGTTGCAATGTTAGTCATCTCGATGATATGGTTTTCAATACTACGCGACCCATCAAACTTCATGGTCATGAGTTCAACCATTAGTGTACCAGCAAGAGACTTATTTGCAGAACGAAAATGTTCTTCCACAAACTTCAGGTATTCCTTGCCACTTTCTATTTGTGGAATAGTACTCTTAATGTTGTTGGCAATATTCATTCGCATAAACATAAGGCTTAGCATGCTTTATGGAAAGACTTCTCATCTGCACTATTCAAATCAGTAATGTCAGCGGGCTTATCATTCATCAGAGCCAAGTCAAGATCCATCATACCTAAGTGGAACTGGACTTGTTCACGCCATTCAGAGAAGTTCAATCCGTTGAACACAGTAACAGATGAAGCATACGAATGAAAAGGAATAGCTGCAAAATAGATAATACATGCTCACAAATCAATATAGATTCAACAAAACAGTTAAAGCATATCGCATTTCTCCTTTGGGTAAATACTACGATATACTATCATAATTTAAATGTCATTTAGTCTTTAATAGGTAATTAAATATTTTTAACCAAATATATATGTCCTCTTTGGACAGACAATATATATTTGATTAAGAATATTAATTTACATCATCATATTCACTATTCATAGAATAATTGATTCACCTTTGGATAAATCCTTAAGTTCTAGCAATAGTGAAAAATAATTTATCCACTAATTTTTAATTATTGGCATTTTATTAATTTTATGGATAAACTATAATTTTATGTATGTATATTTTCATAAACAAACTAGTTTGGTCACTTTGGTGACTAACAAACTATATAACATAAGTGCACACACACAATAGAGATCATAAGATTTTATGCATATGAATACTTTAAACAATCTAGTTTGGTCACTTTGGTGACTAACAAACTATATAACATTAATCACATACATAAAATAAATAATAAATAGTTTCACCAACCTAATAACCCAAAACAAATTACTATATGGCCCAAGAAATAAATAATTAGTTTCAAATCGCATCATTAACGTTACTCTTGTATCATCAAATTCTTGCACAGCATTATAGTCGTTATCTTCTAATATCACAACTTATATAATACAAAATCTATTCAAGTACAGAGAAATAATTTAGTCATATTCTTACACTGAAATCCGTACTTAAATAAGTTAGATCGATAAACAATAACAATTAACAAGGTTTGGCCTAAGGTGTCACGGCAGAGTAGGTACATATGTATGGCAGGGAACGTAAACCAATAAAACAATATGTGCCAAACCTTAAAAGGCAGAGGCCGATCCAGGATTTCAGAAGGATGGATGCACCACTATCCGATTACCGTTTGATTTGGTTCTCTAAAACTTACCTTGGAGAACTATCAATAATAGCATCATTATTTATAGTTACAAGTACTAAAGCTCAATATATTAAAATTAAATAACTAATCAAAAAGAGAGTGGTAAATGAAAAAAGAGGAAACTTGAAATTGAAAAGATTCAAAATGATTTAAATTTTATTTTTTATAGTTTTTGAAACTCAATGATTGAACTAAAAAATAGAATGAAGAAAACACAGAAAAGAATCCAATAAAAATGAAAATTTAATTCAAGGATATATTAAAGGGTGAACCCAAAAACATAAGAATTGCATGGGAAAAAAAGAAAAGAAAAGAAAGATAGGGCATGAAAGCTACCACTACACCAAATGCTCTTTTGATCATGGATTCCCACGCGAAAAATTAAATATTTTATCCGAAAAATATCCCTGTAATACACAACCTAAGGAGGGGAGCATGGGTGCACGTGACTCATGCCCCTCGTGGATCCGCCTCTGCTAAAAGGGTACCAAATACTTTATTGTACTTCTGTTACGAGCCTTTTGACATCACCTTATAATATAATCTCTCCGATAAATATCTTATTTGTGTCATCGTCGGAAAATAGAACAAATCAATACAATAATTAGCAAAACATGAAGAGAAAGGGAGATAAGCAAAGCTGACGCAATGCAGGAGCGTGTTAGTGTAAATTGAAGATTTATACATTCGGCCACATTCTTTCTCTCGGTATGTTTTGAAATTAATCTCTTTAATTGAAGATTATCAGTTTAAATATCCATGTTCTAATACCACATGTAAGCATAAATACTAATTACATGTCAGGAACTTGAACATGATAATCTTATACAAAGTGGTTACCAAAAACATACCTGAATCGTAAACCGTCATCGTGAAGCGGAAGCGTTAGTTGAAATTGGTTTTTCTCCCCTTGCTCTAGCTTTCGTTACCGCCGACTTTAGTGATGAAAGTGGGAAATAAAAATAAGGTAACTCTAATGGGTGGGAAGAGGACCAATTTACAGAGGTTCCCACTTAATCTGGTACGTCCATCAAGTAACCAATTGGATGGATGAGATTTGCTCATTAATTAAATATTAATTATGGGCCTTAAGCTTATTGAGCCACATACACGTAAGAAAATAACTTACAGACAAGTTTCAAAATTTAATCAAGGACCTTATCAAATTAATCAAGCAATTAATAATGATAAAAGAATATCAAAAGCCATATATATTTTATATGGAATAACGTTCACAAAAATATGTTCAAATTATCAAATATGAGATTGGATCTAGGACATATCTAATATATACCTAACACCGCCGTAACCACACAAGGACATCCTTTTGCCAGTTTTGAACGTGCTATTTTCTCTTTGCTCGGAAGACGAATTTAAGATTTTGATGTAAAAGTAAAAAAGCATAAAAAAAAGTTCACTATTTTCTTCCGTCAATTAGTATGAATAAAATGTAAAAAATTTGTGTGTGGGTATATATATACACACACACATCTATAGAAAACTTGGTAAATTTGGGCAGGAAATTTTTGAACAACAAAAAGAAGACAATCCCCCAGCCTGCCGAAGGAAATGTGCAGTTCTAATTAACGTTGTAATGCAACTCATTATGTCTGGCTGTCCAGACTTTTCTGAACAAGTATCAACAATTCTTCCAGACTATAGATGGTATTCATATGTCCAAAAAGCAAATTTAGGATTTAGAGAGGCATCAGGCATCCGGTGATAACATCATAAAAGCAACGTGACTCTTTATCCTTTAGAAAAAAACAGACAGGTTTAAAGAAACGGTGCGTGAACCATAACCAAAACCACAAAGGACGATTTTTTTGCCAGTATAGCACGTGCTATTCTCACATTTCTACATACTTGTAGTCCAGAGAAAACCCCATGCTTCCTCTCCCAAGTATATAAGAAACAAAAACTCAGTAATCCTACAACACGTTTCAAACAAGAGAAACAAGACATTCCCGTCTGTCAAAGGAAATGTGTGGTTGTGATCGTAAGCACCTAACTTTAGGCTGTCCACACCTTTTAGAACAAATATCAGCCTTCTCCAGGTAAAATAAAGGAGCCAAATGAAAGTAAATCTTCAACTTGCATCGTAGACAGCTTCTTTTCGATTCCTCCACAAATGTCGATAACTACATTCCAAATAGCATCCTGTACGATCACGTTGAAGTATTCTTAATTAATCACTCATCCATATGTATAGCATCAGCATGAAAAGGCTTCTATGTGCAGGGGGCAAGGGAGCATGATGATTCCAACCTCCAAGAAACTAGCCTCCTCTTTCCAAAAGCTATGTCATCTGACTAATATCTATGTAGATTGGTCTACTTGTTCTCAACTATTGCTGGTACACAGCTAGCAATTTTGAAAATCTCTAAGTGTGCTTGCACAAATTTAACAGCATTATGTTTTTGCCGAGAAGGAAAAAGAATTAGACTTATAAAGCGTGGAATAACATATGGCGTCCTAATAACTGTACGGTACAATCAGCTAATCATACACCAAAATNGCCTCTCACTTCTGCAGTAGTATAAAACCAGGGAAGAAACTTTGGCTCCATGATGAGGGGATCCCTTGACAAGGACTCAACAACATCCCCTTAAAAGGAATCACCCTCCAGTGAGGAGTGAACTTTACTTTTTACCATAAGCACTTTAACTAGAATGTT